GAGGAGGAGGAAGAAGAAGAAGAAGAAGAAGAAGAAGAAGAAGAAGAAGAAGAAGAAGAACAAGAAGAACAAGAAGAAGAACAAGAAGAAGGAGAAGGAGAAGACACACAAATGGAAGGAAGAAAAAGAACGAAAGAAAGAAGAGAGAAAAAGAAAGAAAGACAGACAGTCAGAAAGAAAGAAGGGAACAAAGAAAAGAAACAAAAAAAGAATAAAGGAAAGAAGAAGAAGAATACAAAGAAGAAGAAGAGGGCACAACAGAGAGAAGAGGTGAGTTTAGCATGTTGGCACTGCTTGTCAGGGAAAAAACAACGATGCACCAATGATGCACATCCATCAGTGCAGGTAGTCCCACGGTCCACACTCATTTTGAAAACCCAAAAAAGTGCAAAGGCTACAGAATAAATACAAGGAGGGGAATGAGGAGGGGATGATCATGGAGAAGCAGAAGTAGAAGGAAAATGACGGCAGAGCGACCACGCAAACATTTTTTGAATCCATTTTGTCAATCCCCGAGTACAGAGGCTGGAAAACTTTACAGAATTTGACATGAAAGCCTGACCAGAGCAGCTAGTATCGTGATACTGGAGTGGCCTACACGGAACAGAACCAAGTGTGCACTTGAGAACAAGTATCGCGATACTGGAGTGGCCTACACGGATCAGAACCATTAAAAATACCGTACTATTAGACACATACTAAGCTACTCTTAGCTGGTTTTCGATCCATATTTAGCAAACATACCGGACATAACTACTTTTTCTAACTTTGGGCCCCTCTTAACGACTTTTCTTTTCGGTCCGGACAACCCCTCCACAGTCTCCTGCAGTTGAGCTTTACCCCTCTTTTGCACATCCCTCTTCATACTCTTTACTTTGGATTGATTGCTATTTTTGGTGATGCTACGCTTCCCTTCTGGTCCATCTTCACTGAATGACGAAAAGCTTATCTGCATACTTCTCCCCATTCCTGTGCCCTCCTTCCCTCCTTTCAAATGTTTCCGCTTCACCAGCGCTTCCAGCATAGCGATCCGCGCTTCATCGGGATCATAGTCTTCTGCAGCCACCGACATCTGCTGCTGCTCCAACTCCCACTTCTGCCTTAAATAATCAACGCTTTTCTCTGATCGATCAACTGCAACAGCATGGTTCTCATCATCAAACTCTGCTGCAACAAATGACAAGAATGAAGAGGATGGTGATTCACGATCGCAAGTACGTTCTCTATTTTCAATGATGCTGATGTCTGAGACACGGCTTCGTTCCGAAGACGACGGTGTTCTAATTCCTTTCCCCGGCGAATGGCCGGTGTTTTCCCCGTTACACTCCCTCCCATCTGTCCCTGTTGCTGTTGCTGTTGCTGCTGCAAACTCCCCGCCGTTGTTGCTCTCTGTACAGACTTGCCATATATTCTCATCTTCTGCCAGAACAACCATCTCTTCCAAATAGTTGCCTTCCTTCCCCTCCTCCTCCTCCTCCTCCTCCTCCTCCTCCTCCTCATCGTCATCATCATCATCATCATCATCATTATACACTACGTTATCATAATATCCATTGCCATCCTCCTCCTCCTCCTCCTCCTCCTCATCATCATCATCATCATCAACATCATCATCCTCAAAGTAATTTGCACTGATTTCAATGCCTTCAAGACCTTGTGCATCCCAGTGCTCATACTGCTCACCGACTATTCCAACAGTAGTGATCTTGCCATGTCCTGTTTGTGGGTGTGTTTCCAAGTCCTCTTCATCTTTTTTCAGTTCGCTTGCTACTGTGTTTATTCTTTCTGGTCTCCTCTCAGTCATTTTGACTTCTTCACTGTCAAAGCGGATGTCCAACGGTTTCAAATGCTGCATTTCCGAGTCAGAGTTTTCTGCGTCGCCAACTGCATTTGTCACCACAGTGGCCACGTCGGTTTTCAAAGGTGCCGACAATTTGGCTGACATTGGATTCATGTCGGTTGGTTCATTGACACTGATCTCAGATTGACCATCCTTGCTTCTGACTAATTGGCAGGAAATGACCTTTTGAACCTTTCCAAAATACAAAGAGGATCGATTACGTTGTCTGATAAACTGCAAGGCGGCAGTTTTGTCATGGAATGTCAGGAAAGCAAAAGACTTGCAAATCGGATCCCTTGTCTTCAGACTTCCTGACACGACCGGTGTGATCCCCACCAACCCTCCCGAATCTCCAAAAGCCGCTCTCAAATCCCTCTCAATCTTTCTCTTCTTTGGCAAATTGCTGACTTTCACCTGGACACCGTCCTTCCTGTTTGGTACAGCAGACATCATCACCTTGGAGGACTCCGATGGCATCATCTTCTTACTCTTACTTTCAGACCCTTTCCCCTTCTTCATCTCGTTTGTCTGTTTGGTGGGACTTCTTTGCTGGGACCGTTTCTTGCGTGCTGCCTGTATTTCATCCCATAACAGATCTTCTAAAGACGTATTGTACGCTTTCCCGACACCAAACCCCTTTGGTTTGTTCTTTACCCATTCCATATCAACATCCGGATCAACAAACCAGTGCTTCTCATCAGGATCCACAAACTCGTCACCAATGTCGTCATCGTCGCCGAACAACAACTCCTCATCAAGGTCTTCACCAACATCTCCCCAAGCTTTTGCACTTTTGACATATACTTTTTCATGGCACTGAAAAGGTGCATCCACAAGACTTGGCCGGCTCTTACATGTGTTGAATGATGATGACCTTGTCGCAGAACAGCTGCACGACTTCAAAAGGACAGACCAGACAACAACTGCATTGCACTGCTGCTGGTTGACAAACCAATACAGTCGAGACACAATTCGACGAGGGCGAAAATTTGGTCGACGCATGATCGCTCCTGGAACTCCTTGAACCTCTGGAGAGCACACATATCCCGACATGCCACCAAACCATTGACACACAAAAACCAAGCACTTCATCTGTATTTCACCAACGATTCAGCTTGTTCGATCCCTTAAGAGTATGTGCAGAATCTTTGGGCCTTTTAGCAGTGCATGCCATTGCCGCTCTCCCTGTTGCACATGGGCATACAGCCCACTGTCCTATGGTAACCAATTCCCAAGGTGGGCACCAGCCACCACCCTTGTGCCATCAAAACACCATGCTACAAGACCACGATGCGCCTCTCTCTCTCTCTCTCTCTCTCTCTCTCTCTCTCTCTCTCTCTCTCTCTCTCTCTCTCTCTCTCTCTCTCTCTCTCTGTTTTGGCTACCTTAGGGCTGCGTCCCCGCGCCCA